GAGAGAGAGAGAGAGAGAGAGAGAGAGAGAGAGAGAGAGAGAGAGAGAGAGAGAGAGAGAGAGAGAGAGAGAGCTGGGGACGAGCGAGGCTCGTGAGGCGGGAGTTAGGAGGAGAAGATCTTTTCAAGGAGCATTGAGCTAGCAACAGCAGCCTTCTTCAGAAGAGAAAGGGGAACGCGGAGGATTGTCATAAGATGGTGATGACGGCAACAGGTGTGTCAGATGCTGACGGCGAGTCGACGTCTTTCAGCCCGACTATGACGTCTGTGAGCCCAACTTCGACGTCTGTGAGCCCAACTTCCACGACGGCTTCGACTGACTCGCGCGGCCAACAGCAGCTAGTCGTGGGGAGGAAAACAAAGAACCCCGGCTTGGAGACGATGGAAAAACGTTGGAACAAGATAGCCGGCATGCAGACCGACTTGCTCGTAACTGTCAACGGCACGCAATTCAACGTTCACAAGTTTCCTTTGTACTCCAAGAGCGATCGGTTGCAAGAGATCGCCAAAGACGACCCAGAGACGGGGAGGACGATTGCCGACTTGGGAGATCTTCCAGGAGGAGACCGAGTGTTTGTGCAGGTTGTGAACTTTTGCTATGGCTTCGACATCGACGTCTCTCCGTACAACGTGGCAGCCCTCCGATGCACAGGTATGCCGTCGTCGTTAGTTAAGCCATTCCATTTTTTTTTTTTTGGTAAGCCATTCCAAACCTATGGAGCTCTGTACGGAGCCCGGTCCGGAGAAGCTTTATGTGTAGTAAACTTCCCACTGCCCCTGCCAAGATGAAAGTAATCTCCTCACATAAGTGTAAAAAATTTTGCGCAAAAAATTTGCTTTCCGCCTATAGCTCATATTTTGGCGACAGACAGGGGGGTTGACAATATTGTACAGTACTAAAAGGATATGTCATTGCCTCCGATTTTCTTTCTCTCCCTTTTTCTTTCCATTTTTTCCCTCTTATCCCTTGTTTTTTTCTGAGGGCTTCTGGTGGAGAGTGAGCGAGAAGCACTGTGTCGCATATCCTGTGAAATGCGGATGTTTGTTCTGTCACGCGCGAGGGTGCATCATGCTCACGTGTTTCATTTTGGATCTTTTCTTTCTGCCATGTCATGCAACATACCTTTCTTTCACTACCTACCTACCACTACTCCTGTCTACAGGGGACCTGGTACCTTTCTTTCACTACCTACCTACCACTACTCCTGTCTACAGGGGACCTGGTTCTCTTCGCCGAGTTTTCCGTAAAGGGATCGTACTCGGTATTCTCTCCTCGGCGGTGTTCCTGACGGTTGTGATTGCGTGCTTGCATGCGTGCGTGCTTGCGTACGTGCGTACGTGCATGCATGCGTGCGTACGTGCATGATGCGTACGTGCGTCCGTGCACGCATGCGTGCGTATGTGCATGCATGCGTACGTGCGTACGTGCATGCATGCGTACGTGCGTGCGTGCATGCATGCGTGCTTGCGTCCGTGCGTGAATGTGTGCGTGCGTGCGTGCGTTCGTGCGTGGGTGCGTGCATGCGTGCGTGCGTGCGTGCGTGCATGCGTGTGTTTTGGATTTGGTTTTGATTTTGAACCTGGTGCAGCGGAAGTCCTTCACATGCACGACGAGTCCCGGTCAGGAATGAGAGAGGGGAACCTGGTCCCTCTGTCGGAGAGAGCGCTCGTCAATTTCTTCGCCAATTGGCAGGACACGGTATCGATCCTTCACCACTGTCAGCGGTTGATGCCTACGGCCTCCGACTGCGGACTGGTGGATCGCTGCATGACCGAGTTGTGCAAGTTCTGCCTGCCGTCCTCCGCCGCATGTGCAACGGCCGCCGAGAGTTCTGTCCCCTCGAGGGCCTCGCTCACTTCCCCCAGGCCCTCCACGCCGCCGGTGCTAGGCGTTCACCTCAGGGAGTCCGTGCTGTCTTTGGAGTTGGAGTTCTTCGCCGGCCTCATCGCCGCTCTTCGAGATGCTGGCATGCCCGCTCAGGATATCGGGAGATCTATCGACGCTTACGGAAGGTGAGGAGGTCAATCTGCAGCCACCACTGTCTCATCTTTGATCATTTCAAAATCATTGAGGTACTCATTTTGAAATTTTCTTCCTCCTTCCGCCCGTTCTGTTGCCTTTATATGTAGTGAATCATTCATTGTCTTGCCGACTTGCAATGGCTGGCTTATTGTTTGCTCTCCCGTAACGTTTTGTCTTTTTTTCACTGGCGCCAACAGTGCCCACGGTTGTGATTGGCGCATGCTGGTGGTCGTTACATTCCCGGGAACGCGGCTGCCCCTTGAAAATCGAGTGTCAAAGGGCCTCGCTGCATTACTCTCCACATGCACAACAGACAAGAAGTACGTCGGTGCATCTTTCCATGTTCTAGCGGAAGATTCGTTCTCATTTTGCACATTTCGAGAGTAGTGCAGCGAGGCCCAACGAAGCGTTGCAGAACGTAGATAATGTGCTCTGCAATCTGCAGACAATATTAGTGTAAATTCCAGAAATACCGTTTTTTTTAATTTTTTATTTTGTTTTAATACCGGTTTGCGAACGTATCGTAGCGTAAATTGCAGAAAAAAAGAAAAAAAAGAAACAAAATTGAGAAATAGCGGTTAGCGCCCATCGGGCTTACGAGGGGACACCATAGTATGACGTAGACAGCACGCCTGTCGGCACTCGGGCGTCCTTTGTAATCTACCAAATTGGCCACGTCACTGTTTCGCATCATGTCTTTATCTACCTCTATTGCTGTTCATTTTTTTTTAATTTTTTTTTTAATTTTTTTAATTCCTGTCCATTTCTTGCTGATGCATGCCCTTTTCTTCCCTAAACTAAATTATGAGCACTGCCAGCGATGATACAAACGGGAACAAACCCGCCAGTCGAAATGCATTTGCAATGATTTTGACTTTGACAGCCAAGTTGTGAATGCGTCACTGCTTCGGGGCTCATCGGAAAGGCAGGGGGGGGGGGGGGAAGGGGAAGGAAGGGGCCACAGGGCCACCAGGCCTATTCCGGGTGTGAAAACAAGGTGTGAAAGCATTCCCGCAGTCGGCCATCAGTTGGTTGCCGTGTGCAGAAGCCTGGGTCGTTCCCAGTCGATGGACTCTGGCCGTCTTTTGCCTTTGACTGTTTCGTTTTGCTGCTTCTCCTGCGGTGCATGTCATTGAGCGAACTGGGATTTCTGATGTATGCGTGAGGTGAAGGTACTCTTCGAAGGGGGGAGGAAGTGCTGAGCAATGAGCATACGCACGCTTTCTCGCACCCCGCGCTGCGGTCTAGATCCGTCTAGGGGTGTGCAGATACCCTCAAGGACACACCCCATTTCGACGTAATCAAGCTCGCAACGGTTCTTAACGGCCGCCCGATACCGCCACGGCGCCACGGAACGTGAATTGCATTGGATTCAGTGGCAAGGCAATCTTGAAAATGGATTTATTTCCCCCCAAAAAAAGAAAAAAATATATTAAAAAAATGGATTTATTATTTGTTGACGTCTCGCAGCGTAGGAAATTCAACCTGCAAAGGAGGCGAAAGATGTGACGCCCACCGATTCATACTTGAACGTGCGACGTTGTGAGAAAAAAATTGCAATGCAAGAAATGATGTATTGTGAGACTCAGTGAATCTAACTGTCTGTTGTTCTCTGGCCTCCTTAATCCTACTACCCCTACCCCTGCCTCTACCCCTACCCCCCACCTACCCCCCCTCCTCCTCCCTTTCTGCGTGCGTTCTGTATTTACTGTTATTTCACTGTCGTTTTGTGGTTATAACGATGATGGGTCTCAGGTACTGGATTCCACAGATAGTCGGGGACGATTTCCTGAATATCGGAAAGCAGAGGGACATAATTGAAACTCTGGTTTCCCTCCTTCCTCTCAGAGAAGGCGATCCCGGTACTATCGTTGACGTCTTCTCGAAGCCAGCTCCCGTGTTCCGTCTCCTTCGAGCCGCCGTCGCTTACGGTGCTGATAGGAACTGCCAGAAGCAGCTTGTCCGAATGGCTGGGTGCATGCTGCATGAGGCAGATGTGGACGATTTGTCAAACCTTGAGGTCCATGAGGTGCAGGCCGTGTCGCAAGTGTACTTCTCCCTCCCCACTCACAACGACGATTTCTCCTCTGCAGCTTGCAAGCGCGTAGGCCGTGTGATCGACGAGTACTTGGAACTCACATGCTCCTCGATATCGGCGGCCGGCAGCAATCCGGGTACGCTTAGCTGGGAGACAGTTCAGTCTCTGGCATCAGCCGTGCCGGCAGAGGCACGAGCCAGTCACAACGCACTATTCAGGGCGCTCTTTCTGTTTCTCCGGCTGAAGAAGGGGGCTATGGCGGAGAAGGAGCTGGTCTCTCTCTTCGAGGTGGTCGATCCGAGCAAGCTGTCCCCAGAGCTCGCGGAGCAGGCCACAAGTCATCGCGCCCTCCCTCCGACCTTCCTCGCCCGCGCCCTTGTCGCCCAAAAGGAGCACATGCAGAGTTGGATTCGGGAGTTGGCCGAGGGGACCACTCTGCTTCTCGAAGAACGGAAGAGAACTGACGAGGAAAAGCTCAAGATCTCCCAAGAAGTGGAGCAGCTGCGCGAGGAGGTACGACTGGCGGATGAGAGGTTGCAGCAGGTGAGGAAGAACATGAGAGAAGAGGCGTTGCAGGTCGTCAAGAAACACGTCGGTATGTAGTACGTACCCACTGCCCAGTGCTTAACTAGAGTTAACTAGAGTTAACTAGAGTTAGTTAACTTACCGAGTTACGAGAACTTTGCATGCTCAGACGGAACATGAGAGAAGAGAGTGACTGTCCAAGAAGATGAGAAATTCTGAAATTGTGCATGCGCAACTCTCTCTCCTTGTCCTTCGGGACATCCGTTAAAGTTGGAACGATACAGAGGAGAAGGGTAACTTAGCAAATGGCCCCTGCTGTGCAAGGATGACACGCATAAATCGAGAAATGGTCCAAATGGTCCAAATTAAAAAAAAAAAAAAAAAAAAAAAAAAAAAAAAAAAAAAAAAAAAAAAAAAACACTCTATGCTTCGCGGGATGTTCATTATAACCTGAATCATCCATCAGCACCGTTGCGGTGGCATTTACTCGCGGCTGCTGTTCCCACGTCGGTCAGCACGAGCAAGCCTGCCAACCTCGGGACAGATGAGCTATGGTGGATGTACGTGTCAGGAGGAGCAGGAAGTCCAAGAAGAAATAACCAATCGATCCCCCTGTACTGTTTTCTCCCTCTCCTCTTTTCCTTCTTTTCTCAAACCACGAGTGCTTCCGAATTCTTCTCCTCCCCCCCCTTCCCCCCCCCTCTTCCCCACCTCCTCCCCTCCTCTCCCCTCCCCCAAATTACGCTATGTTCGTCTCTCAAAATCTTCCACCATCTTTCGGGCTCCAAAAGCCCTGCGCGCCAAATAAAACCGAACAGGCGTTTGCTTTTTGACTGGTGCCGTGACTGCCGTCAGCCGTGGTGTTCCGGCAGCCGTCTTGACCCGAATAGAACGCCCTGGTCATTGTACCGAATAGAACGCCCTGGTCATTCTAACAGGGGTTGGGGAACTTTCAGTCTACCAACAAAGATAGAATTCTTTTTAATTTATTTTTTATTTTATTTTATGGCCGGCCCTCTGATGAAAATAGAAATGCCGTTGATCAATCGGCATCTCTTCACCAAACATGCATCATTACCTACACTCCTCAAGAAGATGGACTCACTGAGGGCACACATCAGGCAAGCGGCAAGCCAACGCAGTAGTCGAAGGCTTGAAGCCTTTCCCACAGGTGTTCGTAGATTCTGCTGTCACCCTGTCCCGTTGCAAATTAATGGTCTAAGCACTTTAAGACGTACCCAATGAATTTGATCGAAAGGGAAAACTTCACAGACTTTCATCCAACCTGGCTCGGCACAGCTTTACATAGCCGGACATCCTGACTTCGAACCAGAAACTTAAACCGCCCGACCTCTATAACAACCTGGGCTTACCAAAAAAAAAAAAAAAAAAAAAAAAAAAAAAGAGAGAGAGAGAGAGAGAGAGAGAGAGTGTGTGTGTGTGTGTGTGTGGGCTCTTATAGCCAGGCCCGCCGTTGAAAAAAAAAATCGTCGGCCTTCCTCCGAAGTGGTGTGGGTTTTGTGTTGACACCCACGGGCCCATCTGTGGTGTACCCTACACCCACGGGCCCATCTGTGGTGTACCCTACACCCACGGGCCCATCTGTGGTGTACCCTACACCCACGGGCCCATCTGTGGTGTACCCTATCTCCTCGAAGCGAATCCTATAGCCCACTCCACGGCAGAAATAATAGCAGAGTGCTGTAGAGGATAAAACATTTGCGTCACATCAGAACTGCATTGCATGCCAAGAGATCTTCCTCCTCGATCACAGATTTATTAACCGTACCTGGAAATGAAGATAGATTCAAAGCAAACGAGTACTCTCAAGGTTGAAATGACTGCCGGCGTGAACTGAGTACTCCGAAGGTTGAAATGACTGCCAGCCTGAACTGAGCACTGCTAAGGTGGAAATGACTGGCAGTAATTGAGTACTGCTAATGTTGAAATGACCGGCAGCCTGAATTGAGTACTGCGAAGGTTGAAATGACTGGGATAACTGACTACTCTTAAGGTTGAAATGACTGCCAGCCTGAACTGAGTACTGCGAAGGTTGAAATGACTGGGATAACTGACTGCTCTAAGGTTGTAATGACTGCCAGTAAGCTTGAAATCACTGGGATAACTGACTACTCTAACGTTGAAATGAATGCCAGCCTGAACCGAGTACTGCTAAGCTTGAAATGACTGGCAGAAGCGATACGTGTCAACTTACAGCTCATTCACACACACAGCAGCAGACAAGTCGAGATGCCCTCGGAGTAGGTTCCGACAATGACAGGTCCGACAGGAAAGTCCTTCGCCACTTCTCAACATCCTTTCGGAATCCTTCTTTGGAAGCTTCCTGGCACTCGGAGTAGGTTCTGACAATGACAGGTCCGACAATGTTTTGGCCCTTTTGCGATCATGTACGACCTTCCGGGTTGACCTTTAGAAGGCCATGGTGGCAGCTGGCAGAACTTTTCCTGGCACTTCAGAAGCTTCCTGGCACTTTGACAGCACAGCAGACTCATCCTCCGAGATGATCTGCAGACCCGCTTTCTCTATAAAAACAGCTCCCTCAGGCCTTTGGCATATACCACGGGGCAGCAAACGTATGTGGACCCCATGTTGTGGTCAAGGGGGTACACCACCAAACCTTTTTTGGCACTTTGACAGCACAGCAGACTCATCCTCCGAGATGATCTGCAGACCCGCGTTCTCTATAAATAGCTCCCTGAGGCCTATGGCATATATACCTCGGGGCAGCAAACGTATGTGGCCCCCATGTTGTGGTCAAGGGGGTACACCACCAAACCTTCGAAACGTTTAAGTGAGAGGTCGGGCAGATTCCGGCTGGACCCAGCACCGGCGTTCAGGTCTAAGTGAGTGATCGGGCTTGACACAGCACTGGGCGTGGCGTTTTTTTTTTTTTT